AGCGATGGAACGAAGACTGGCATGGATGACTCTAATACACATTAAGACAATTAACAGACTTGGTCACAAAAAGTCACATCATATCCACGGAGTGAATGATGATGTGGGGCAAAGCGTCCGTCCTTCCGTCCATTCGTCAGTCTGTCTGTATGTGTGTTTGTGTTTGTCCTTCTGTGTGTCCGTGCATGCCTCCGTCTGTCCGTCTATCCGTCCGTGCACTCCATGGATAAGCCGCCGAGGCCCTCCTCTCCGCTTCATCCACGCCCCACTAAAACGAAGCGACGAGCACGAGCCGCCACGGCGATCCGCACCCGCCGCTCTGCTTCGTCCATGCCCCACCAACGATCTGCCATGTATACGGCGACGTTCCAGGAGACCGAGAGATGCCCTACATCCTCGCGCATACAGGCACAACGCGTGCAGCCGGCCATCAGAGAGTAGCGGTACAACGCCATCTAGGATATTATCCTCACCCAACTACAGTTTGTATGTACTTCTATGAGACAGCTCCGTCTATTATACTGTTCGGGAGATACTGTCTTCCTTTTTTTCCTCGTCTCTTCTCTCGGTTACGCGTGATAAGGTAAGACCAAGAGAAGCTTCGCCCCTAAAAAAAAAAAACCGGTTAGCTGATGCCTTAGTAGACATGAAAAGGGGAAAAATGGGCCATATAATTTGGCGACATGAAAAGGTGATATGGTCATTTACAATGAAGGAATGAATGGCAAGAGGTGGGAAGCACTTCTGTGAACGACAGATTGTTGGTTGGAGTGACGAAATTGAAGAATACGCAAATGTAACAAGGATTCGGACTGCACAGGACAGGGTGCGTTGGAGATCACCGGGAGTGGCCATCTTCCTGCGGTAGATATTACAGCATTATGAACTTATGATAATGATGATGGTGGTGGTGAAGATAAAATGCTTTGACAATAAGCTTCTTCAAGTCATTTTGCACTGTTTACGGCAGGTTTCTACAATGAAGACATAGAAACTTGTTTAAAACACAGTTACATGATGTGATTTGGTTAAGGGAACTGATTGCACTCATTGATCTGCTTGTCAGAGGCCTTGCTTTTTCCTGCTAGATGGACAACGGTCTGAGTAATGAGACAAACATGCGTGTGATCATTGTTCATAAAAAGGCAGTTTACTCTGTTGTGACAGCTGTCAACGTGTGCATTTCTTGCCTCTGTGAGACCTGGCTATCGACACTAGCTAGAATTCGGCGACAGCAATTGTATGCTTCATTCTCTCCTATTTTATTGATCATGTACACGCTGGACAGCTGTAGTACTCATTCTCTGCGGCAAAATGCAGTAAAAATTTGGCAGATCCCACGTACCGCTGTAATCAATAATATGTGAAGCATGCATGAAGTTTGCTATGTGGCAATTTTAAAGTGAGCATAACATTACTATAGGTGGATGGATGCAGTACTCAGTAAACTTAGGTAGACATTATATATGCATTCGCATATCTACAAAACACTCCAATCTGAGAACAGGTAGTTTATAGCTACCTAATGGTACCATCTCTAACATGTGCACTATCAGCACCAGCAGTGGTAGTATGAAATGTTGTTCTTGCATTAGTCCGTAATATTGTTAATGTGAAGTGTAATCATTAAGTATATGCTGAATGAGACAAGTGTTAGTGGATCAACTTTAAGTGCAGTGCTAGTGTCTACATCGTGGGCTTAATAGCAGCGTTCACTACATTTGCGTCTACTAGTGACTACACTGGATAAATCATGGTCTGACGTAACATCTATACTCACCCTTCAGTACAGAATTATCAAAACGAAGGGCACTTTACAAAGTCATGATGTTCACATCATCCCTTTACGAAGTGATAATGTGAACATTGCACTTCGCTTACCTTAGAGTATTACACTGGGGTTGAGCAACGCTTGAACATAGTTAGTTGAATAATACGAAAACATAGGTAATGTTCATTAAACTACTATAAAATAGGAGTGCACACTGGAACCACAGTCGACCTGGTTTATATCATATATTCAATATTCATGGCTTTATGATATAATTACACAGCCAGCGCTGCAACAAACCTTACACCTGCATAGTGTCTCTTTCAAAGTCCTTTCAAGACCTATTATGGCTCAGTGGTAGTATGCCCGATTTCCATGCAGCACACTTGAGTTCAATTCCTGCCGGGATCCTCTTTTTCATATTTGCATTTGTCATGTTTAAGCTGCCTAGGTCAGTTTCTCTTAACACTCTCACATTTTAGGTACTAATGTCTGTCCTCACCGTTCCGGGGCAGATATAAATTGTCTATCACCTGTCTATTACAAGTGTCTTGAGGAAAGTGTTCAACAACGCTGTGACAGAATTTTCATGTTATTCATGCCATGGCCAGACAGACGTATTCCCCAAACTTTCCTGCCTTTCCATACCAATTTGGTCTACACCATGTTAAAGCGGCGATCACAAGAGAATTTAGATAGGTTAATAAAGACACTCAAAGGACATGCAATTCACTAAGAAATTCTTTGCACTAAAAAGTTTTAAAAAATGCCACCTGCATATCTTCTGTACAAAGCACATTTTGTATGAGCTACTTGAGGTCTCCTTTTTCTAAAACGCCATGCTAGCTGCTTAGGCAACAATACTGTGTTTACAAAATTATAGCAAGCATATTATGGGTCTTATTACTGGAAATCCTGTCACAATGATATCAATTCATATAAGCAGCGAGAAAAACTTCGTAGAGGAACTAGCGGATATTGAACCCAAGCATTTGCAAAAAAACGTGACCGCTATATTAAATATTCTTCTTTTCAATGACTATCTTTTTGTGGATGTGTATAAAAAAATGACACACCATTGAAACATCTCCACCACAATTAATTTGAACATTGGTTAAATAGTACATACGATACTGCCAAACATCACTTTTGTTTGAACTAAGGTGCAGGAGAAAATACAAGATTAGTAAAAAACTACAGTGTAATGACTATTTTATTTCTATTTTTGTTCCAAGTAAGTACCACCTTGCCCCTGATTTTACATAAACAAAGTTCAGCACTGCGACACTTGACAAATAAAAAAGGATGAAATACTTGACTGAAAGACATTAAAGAAGTTAATCCTCCAGTAAATAACTTTTGCAAAATTTTCAAACTTCAACAAAAATGACAAACTGAGGAAAAAGAGCCTTACAGATGACTTGTAGCACATGGCAATGCGATACTACAACCAAAAGAGCTTAGATAAAAAGCTACAGACATGTGGCTAGACACAAATGTCCTGTAGTCCCATTGTTCAAACATGCACACTTAAGTATTTGCAAGGAGCCAGTGGTGCAGGCAATATTAGTCTTGAAAACATCATAATATAAGTAGTTCTCTTCGAAAACATTGTACTGTACATTGGGGAGCACTTGTGATGTTAAGGTAATTTGGTCATCAGCCGTGCTCGCGTAAATGGCAAGCCAATAGCTGCTGGCTCAGACAAGGCTTTCTACAGCATTGTCACAAATATATAAAACCCTCGCAGTCATGGACAGACCTAAAATGTATAATTGTTTGTTCGTACAGTTGTCTTTTTTTAACCTGCATCTTACTCCTTTTATGACATGCATACAGTACAGTTTAAAAGGCAGCTGTGTCTATGCTCCATGTGTTGTTTTATCTACTTTTCATGATTCGTTGTCCACTACTGCCTGCACACTTCTCACATTGTATTTTATCTATTTCATGTTTTTTTTTCACTCAGTCAGCTCACCGGTACTGTACTGTTGCCTTCTGCAGAGAGCTTCTGCTGTCCCCTAAAAAAACATCAATAATTCATGAAAATGTTACAAGAAAGCTTAGAAATGGTACACATTATCATATGTACAGTCTACTGTGCAGACGTTCATAACATTTCATGCACATTTGACAATGTTTGTGGAGAAGTTGCATAGTTCAACAAATATTCACTTTTTTGCAGCAAAATCCATGCTCCCATGATGTTCTTTTTTTTTTTTTAGTATAACAATGTACTGTTGGCATTACTCCGAGTTATCCAGCTCTGTGAAGCTGTAAATAAAGACGGCACTAATAACAAATAAGTGCCCCTGAAAGAGGTGGGGTTATAGTTTCTTTGTAAATAATAAATGTAATTACTGCTCCTTCCTCTAAGTGTCATTGTTTAGAACATTAGTATACAATATTACAGATTTTGTTACAAATTCGTTGATATACTTTGTAAATAATTGATGGCAGCCCTTTAACAAAGACTTTTAAGTGAGAATAATCGAGAGAACAATCCTCTGAGTTCACTTTAATCATGCCGGTGTGTCTTTGCAATATTCACACAAATGTTTGGTGAAAATACTAGAACATACACGCCCAACTTGCCAGCAAGCAGTGGAAGACAGAGCAGTGCCCTAGCTCAGCTTCACAGCCATTTGAGCACTGTACTAAATGACTGTGCGGAGAAATCGCAGAGCTTTCTTTGTAATCATGTTATATACTAAGTTTCATGTCTCAAAACCACAATATAATTATAGGAGGTACCATAATGGGGGGCGCTTGCAATTTCAGTCATTTTGTGTTCTTTAACGAACACTGACATTGCGCAGTACGTTGGTCTCCAGCATTTGGCCTCCATCGTAATTTAACCGCCATGGCTGGGATCAAACCAGAGATCTTCGAGTCAGCATCTCAACATCATAACCACCACTACACCATGACAGAAGAAGGTATTTTTATCATTTCGCAGTCAAGCTGACTACGCGACTCATGCCACTAATAAAAAAATCCAAGACATATGCAGTTCTTCGCAGCTTTTCAGCACGTCAAATGCAAGGGAAAAGATTCCCAAATATTGGTCGCCAATCATTCCTGCACCATGTACACTTGTGCACAAACTCTTAGAAATCACCTTTCTCATAAAACAATAAGAGGGCACCATAACATCAACGCACGTAGTCCTGTGCATAATCCACCAAAACAGTTGACCACGAATAACCACACCATACAAAATGTCTACATATACAAACCACCAGTGACTTCGAGTACTGAACCAGTCACGTATGAGCTGGCTGGAGAACAGAGGAATAGCACTGCATCAGCCAGCTCTTCTGGCTTCCCAAAGCGGCCCATAGGAATCCTTTCTTTTATCTTCACCAGCACTTTTTCTGGGACACTGGCGACCATAGGCGTCTCTATGAAGCCAGGCATGATGGCGTTGCAACGAATATTATGCTTGGCCAGTTCCAAGGCAACCTGTCTTCGTGAAACCCACGACACCCGCCTTCGAAGCAGCGTAGTTACACTGACCCATGTTCCCAGTCTTCCCAACAATACTGGAAATGTTCACTATAGCTCCATTTGGCACACTGGATGAGACCATTTCTCGAGCAGCAGCTTGAGTCACAAGGTACGTGCCCTGAAGAAAGAGTACAGGATGAAAGTTGCATCACTTGGGCCATTCATGAACAGGAATGTTGTACTACTAACAACAATTAAATCTGTTTTCTCATTAGATTTCTTTGCATGAATAGATGAAAAATATATGTCCACAAGCATAGACATGCATATGAGAAGGCATGGTGGGGGGGGGGGGGGGTATATATACAGTTTCAAGGGGCTCCAAGAGTTGGGGGTTGTGGGAAAACTTATCCCACTTTGCCCCCCTACCATAATAGGGAACACTGTGCATGCCTATGTCCACAATACTTACACCTAGATGATTTTCTATTTTAACACCTGGTTCAGATAACATCATGTTATGTGGAGGTGCCATCACACTATCTCTTTTACCGCATGCAGAAGGTTTTGCATGTTCTTTTTATTTTATTTTTTATTATTTGACATTTTCCTTTTACAACTCATACTTCTAGTTCTTGCACAAATGTTGTATGTTTTAAAATTTTCTCATTTTCTCTCAAAAAAAGCAGAAACATCACCGGCTTCTCTGAGAACATTTCATCTTAACTCAAAAGCACTCTATATCAAAGGTTTTAATTTCAGTGTCTGTAATGCAGGCAGTTGCCATTATGACCAAGAAGAGGTAACATTTAGTTTTTTTAGTACACTCACAAAATAACAAAGTCCATATCAATAAGCAATCTGTGGCCTGCTGGGATGCTAGGCGCTTTAATAGTTGTAAGTTGCATTATTATTGTAAGCATCAACAGTATCATAATTAGCCTATTTATCTTCAATGTGGCTGGATGAAAGACTTCTCCCTAAAATTGCAATTTACCCATCCCTTGCACCAGTTTACCCAATATTACACTTGGAAATTTCTTTCAATTTTGTAACTACCTAGTTCGCTGTTTGTGCTTATATTTTTATCTTTGTACCCACTCAATATCTGATACCCCACTGCTTGTCACACCAGCACAATAAAGATCCTGCTATGTTTCATTTAGTAGTCTTAATGTCAATCAATACATTAGCTGTCCTTGTTTGGTGTTGCTACCCTGCTGTCCTTTGATGCTATGCCTACCATTTTTCATTCCATCACTTTTAGGAAATTTTCAACTTCATCTCAAGGTTTATTGTTGTCCTCCACGTTTCTGTCATGTACGTTAGAAACAGAACAGGAGTGCCAGCGACTATGACTTGGTGGTACCTGCTATACATCTGTTCCAAACTACTTTTTATTTCTGAATTACCGTTAAGTTCTGGGTCACCCAAAAGACTAATTAGCCTCGGTGAACGTACTCTCGGAAAGACATTAGAGACTCATTGCTAATCATGAATGTGGACTCTTTTCTAGGCCACCGATGAAAAAAAAAAAAAAGTAGCACACCAACGCATTAACCTTCAGCCCTACTCTCATCTATTTTACACGGACATTTCCTGCAAGTCGCCTCTAGTGAGTGGAGCAGGACAACGTTAGCATTACAGCTTGCTTCTGCAATTCTCTCTATTTCCAGCATAAAGTTATTGAAAGGGGCAATGAGATTGTTTTTCAAACATTCAAACCTTATTTCAAGGTTTATGAATCTGACACCATAGAAAATGCACTTACATGCACTTGAGCATCTTTTAAGCTTCAATTTGATTTTCGGGGATATATAGTGACGCACAGTAAGAAGTTACAGACTCGTTTGGTCTCCTTTATGAGGCTACAGGTGTCTTCGCAATGGCTTGTATGGCTGTGGAGTTCAATATTACCTTTAGGTTTATCTTCATGACTTCATCGAATGATTCCTCAGTCATGTCCATAAGGAAGGTGTCTCGCACAATACCAGCACAGTTGACTACAATGCTCACAGGGGCAGAGTATGTCTTTTTGATTTCAGCAAACATCGACGACACAGATTCTGAGCTTCCAACATCCACTTGTAGAGCACGGTGTTCATGGGAGCCTGTAAACGAAAGGAAGCATTTTGAGTCACTTAATGAGAGTGGCCACTCTCGTAAACACTGATAAAATGTCTACTATCCGAAGTACTTGGCCATGTCATAGAAGTTTGTGAGGTTGAACTACGTAGCAGTAAGGCCAAAAGAGAGTTGCGTTGATGTTACCTGAACAGCCAGTAATGATATGATGTAATGGTACAGCCAATTATGGTATGTGGCCTTATAAAAGTATGTGAGCTATTGCAAAGCTGATGACACACCTCCCAAACAAATAAAACTACCACATTGAGTTACCCATAAGGTTATCAGTGTACTGTGTACAGTGCTCAACAGTGCCGTAAATAAAAAAACACTGGCAGCATTGCATTTCACTAAGTGAGCACTGTACATGACACCGTATCATGCCAAACTAAATCTGCTACTCATTCTGGCAAAGATGCAGCTCTTAGCAACGAGGTTAATACATATTTTCTTCTTATGCATCACTGTTAACTACAAGCATTAGCTTCCAAACTTCGATGTAGGGCAAATATGACTTGACAATGTGACTTCTTCCAACACCGAAACACTGACTGTCAATCTGTAAATGCAAACACAGATCTTGAATCAGAGATTCTCTAGCTATCTGCCACGCTCAACTGCCAAAATATTTTCGTTTGGTTGTTTTCATTCCATCACGGTACCTGTAGCAATCTCAACTATTCACAACTTGGGATGTGCAAGGTCGAAAATTAAAACTTATGCGAATGCATCGGCTATTCGGAAATGTTGGATATCTTTCGAAATGTAGCTCGGATACGGGCATTTACAACATACTATCGTTGCGAAACGAAATGCCGCGATTATCGCACCCATTACACCCTTGCAATAAATATGCGTGTTTTTGTTTTTTTCTACATGCATCGCCGGGCTTCATTTTAAAATCTGGTGATACCAACTTTTGGAAGTTTTCCTCTGGCCTCCCACAAAAACACTATGAAAACTTGGCGAATACTACGAAAGAGCAACAAAAGATACGTGACTACAGGGAAAAAATGTCAGGGAATGGTTACTTTTTCCTGTAGTGCCTACCTGGCAAGTCGCTGACCGTAGTCGCCGCACCTTCCTTGTTTATGTCGGCAGCCACAACGCGCGCTCCTTCGTTTGACAAGGCCTTGCACACAGCGCGACCGATGCCGCTGCCACCGCCTGTGACCAGGGCCAAGCGTCCTGCCAGTTGCTGGATACCAGTCATCACAGCGAGTAGCAAACGAACGTACTACCGGGCGATCCTGAAACCACGACTGGCGCGAAACACGGGCTCACTTCCACAGGTGGCAGAGTGGTTCGATTAAAGCGACATAAAGCACAGCTGTGCAAACACGTATCAGACGCAGAACGGTGTGCACGCACCTAGCTAATGGTCGACGAAATGCTCGAAGTGTGATAAGTTTGCACTCTTCGACTTTGCTTCAGCGGTTCCTGCAGCTAGCCCAGATGATCGCTGGCGCGGCGTGGTAGAAATGAAGCAAAAGGCAACACAGAAATGTGAAGGTGTGACGTCATATGTTTGTGTACTGTCTTTTAATGACTTGTTTGCTGTTGTTTTTCACCAATTTGAACAAATATAAAACTTTTATAATATATTTACTTTTTTCAATGGTTACATGAGTTTAACTTTGCCTTAGGCTTCCCGTGAAAATGGGAGAACTACGTCTCTGCCCGGGAAATCTAAATGAGGTAAATGTCGAATCCACCCATTGTTTTCTTTTTCCTGCTTCCTTCTTAAAAGAGTGGTCCCTTCATACTTATCCAAGATATTTGTAATAGCTTTTCGGTTATCATTTTCTTATTGTCATCATTTTATTGTGTTATGATAGCTTTTTGGTTGTCGTTTTCTTATGTTCAACGGGGATCATATATATATATATATATATATATATATATATATATATATATATATATTATATATATATATATATATATATATATATATATATATATATATATATATATATATATATATGATTGAAGAGAAGGACGCACGTACGAAATGTGGATTTATTAACGTTTCGGCTGGTGGACCAGCCTTCGTCAGGCTGACGAAGGCTGGTCCACCAGCCGAAACGTTAATAAATCCACATTCGTACGTGCGTCCTTCTCTTCAATCATCTATTACACCGGACCATCGATCTTCATTCCTAAAATATATATATATATATATATATATAATATATATATATATATATATATATATATATATATATATATATATATATATATATATATATATATATATATATATATATATATATATATATATATATATATATATATATATATATATATATATATATATATATATATATATCAGTATTATAACCCAACCAATTGAATTCGTACCGTGGCATCCACCCAGCCGCCGACATTAATAACTGTAGGGATTCGCATTTCAAAGCCAAGCATAATGAATATTTGAAGCATGCTAGAAGTAACCCAGAACATTTCAGAAAGCTCGTGTTCTACACGGTATTTCGAAACGCAAAACAGCTGCTTTTTTTTTTATTTGAAGGCTGGAGGGGGTACACTTGCGAGAGCATCCCCCCAGCCTAAACACAGGGGGGTCAGGGCCCCACCGACCCCCATGATTTGCGTCTCTGGCAGAATGGAAGCTGCGGCGTGCCTCGCGCAAGTGGCATTGTCCAAGGACAGATGGTAGAAGAATGTCATAATATGGGAAGTGATTAGATTATTGGAAGACCTCGTCATATATAGGCCCTCTTGAAGGTATAATGGGAGGAATAAGGGGGGTGGGTATTTAATCCAGCTTTGTTCTTCAAAATGTGGTACGCTCGCATCTTACCTTTGCGAAAAAGAGGTCCAGTGGTCGTAGACTAAGAATATCCTCTCAGACACTGTGGGACCACGTGCATATTCGACATCTCCCTACTGTTGCTCGGGCACAGCAGTTCAAGCTGCGCAATAGCTAAATGCTTTACGTCATGGTCTAACAGCCCAGGCTACGGTACAATAAGATTAAAGGCCATGTTCCGAATAAATAAACGTTATTGCATTCTGATTGCTATTGGAGCTGAAGAATGTGAAACAAACGGCTACCATATTCTACATCGTTTTCGTTCGATCCATACATCCGGGCATGGCTTAATGATTTTTTTTTTTGTCTCTTAGAGTTGGTATATCTTGTTTCCAATGAAACTCTGTTTTTATGTTTTTGGTATCGGGCGACTCAACTGTAATTTTCGTGGTGAAATTCTAATAGTGTCTCAATTGGCCTGCATCCTTCATTTGCTTCATTTTTTTGTAGTTGTTGTTACCAACGACTCGCAACTAAAAAGTTGACTCGCAGTGGCGAATTCACACGTCCAAATGTGCTTGGATCAACTTTCCTGTAAAAAAAATATAGCTTGTTCCGAGCCACGTGTAAGGTCGACTGAAGAGTTTGTGACTGCGCCAGATATTTTTCAGTCCCCTTCATTTGAAACTTTCCTGAAGGGACATTTATTTCCCGCCATGCTCGCGTCTCGTGAAGCAGGAAAACGCGGCAACGTTCAAACGTGGTCGCCTGCGCGTAGCGCGACGGTTTTATCGAACACTCGCATTAGTCCAGGCGGCGAATTTGTGTAGATTTAACAGATCAGTTGTTAGTCTGCGTTTGTCCTGCAGCCACTTCTACTCTGGTATTTCGTCCTTAAGCGCAGTTTAACTTTACAAATGTCTCAATAACTATCAACACATACACAGTTAGAAAATATAACGAAATGAGTGTCCCGATTTTTATTGCTTTTCGCTCGCGCCGACTCTCCCGCTCTACATGGAAATCTCCACTCTTCACGCCGTCTTTGCGCTGAATGACTGGGTGCTGCGTTCCGCAATGCGGTAACAGCACTAAAAATGGCTGCAGAATGTTTTCCTTTCCAAGAGACCCCAAAAAGACGGCTCCTATGGACCACTAAAATCAAGCGGGACAAGTGGCAGCCGACGATCCATACCTGTATATGCAATGTGAGTACCTGATTCGTAGCCGCGTGAAATCCATATGCCAGCTTGTCGGCACCACTCTTTCTAAGACGCAGACTTGATATTTTATGTGTTCAGATTGATGGAAACGTAGCCCCTTACAGCGGGGGCCAACATATGGAACCTCCAGTGCATTTACAGCTCCTTTTTTTCACTTGATATAATCAACTAGGGCACAGGCTTGGAAAATAGGATCAACCTTTCTGAACCACTAAGACTGTAGCTATCTGAGGTGCATCGCACTTACTTCAACAAAATTGTTCACCAGCTATCTTTGCGCCTACATAGCAATGTGAGCAGTAAATCATGGAGCTCAATACATGTGAAGCGCTATGCTTGTGATTCGCAGTGTTGATTATAAAGGTATTTTATACGTTATGTCGTGCAGGAAATTATAATGCTATTTTGACAGTTATTCTAGCTTATTTTATCTGTAACAGAAGTAGGTGACATAATTTAGGAGCATTGCACCTCTGTGTCCCGTATTCGTGCAGTTTGTTCGATTTCATTGATTTGCCGTACTTTGTTTTAATTGCTCGTATAGGAACAAATCACGTGTGTTAACAACGTCAATTTTCCGTACAGCGGCTCACTTTGAAGGATGCTGTTTTGAACAAAAGCGGGCAGATGGATGGAAGAAGCTGAAGCCAAATGCTGTACCAACGCTTTTCCCATTCAAAGGTTAGGCACTTTCCACCGTGTGCATTGTCTAATTCAGTATGAGGGCACACCTCCTTTGCCAAAGTAATGGCGGGCGCTCGAAAACACATAATATATATATATATATATATATATATATATATATATATATATATATATATATATTATATATATATATATATATAAACCTAGCATTTCCATTGGACTGCTACTGAGACCAGAGCCATACAAATTACTAATAGTTATGTCACCTTCACGAAATTATGATATATTTTACCATTGTCTTGTTTCCGTTCCAATCTCTGTTTTACCTTTATCATTATTGTTATTATTACTGTTGTTGTTCTTCTTCTTATTATTTTCTTTTTATTTTTATCTATATTTTTTTAACAATCACTGTTTCTACGCGTCCTTCCTCATACTTGCGTCACTTTTTCCACAAATGGTTTTTTCCCAGAAAACTTCCAACACCCCACCTTTCATCCTTACGCACTTATATTTCTACGTATACGTGCGAGCTGCACATGTGAACCACGTGCCATCTACAGACCAGCCGCGAGCAAGGAACTTTTATACTACTATTTACAGCGTTAAGCTTTCTCAGAAACACACTTATAACGACCTACTCAGGCTGAAAAGCATGGCTGCTGTCATTTTCACCCCCTGCATTTTTCACCATATACTTCGCACTCTCTCTCTTTCTCTATCTTCTTCATTTTGAATCCCTAAAACCTAGCGTTTTCCTTGAACCTAGTGCTTGATGTCACAATCGGTTTGTACATTTTTCTGCATCCAGTTGCACCGAGGAAGCGAAAGCCACCGAGGGAAAGAGCACTGCCTACGCCCAGGTTAAACCACAAAGAGGTGAGCGACCCTGCCGATGTACGTCACACCGCATCAGACGTAGTGGAAATGCTTCCTGGATCATCTGAAGAAGTGTCACAAGAAACGTCAACGGACAACAGGGAAGTCAACAGCCAAGGTATCGAAGCTTTGAACGTCAGCATAGTAAACTCGACTGATGAAACTCCCACACAAAGAGACTATGCTCAGCTGAAAAAGCAGTTGGCAGGCATAGAAAGAAAATGCGCCACGCTTCGAGAACATCACAGCATCACTACGAACGCAATCCAGAACCTCAGAAAGCAAGTCCATAAGCTTGAAAGTAAGGCTGAGAATTTCGAAAGAAATATACGATTCTTGAATGCAGATCGGCTTTGTGCTCTTTCTGAAAACAGTACCCATGGGTCACACTTGGTCTGTTGAGAGTGTTAAACAAGGTTTGTAAATTAAATTCGCTTGCGGAACGATTGGGTACGAGAACCTGAGGAAGTTGGGTTACCCCCTCCCATCTAGCACGACGTTGGCGCGGAGGATCCAGGGATTGAAATTTCTTCCAGGAATTCTTCAAGAAGTTTTTGATGTGATGAAGTGCATGGCCAACGAAATCATGGAAAACGTGGAGAAAGACTGCGCGCTGTAACAGCCGCCCCAGCTGTTAGATTTCTGGTAAAGGAAGGGCTGCTTGACCCAGCTGCCGAAACGACAACGTGGTTCATGGACTTAGTGTCGAAGTGGTACTCTTTGATGTGGTCACGCCATCCCACTTTAGCTCTAAGTTACAGAAATATGGACAAGTATTCTGCTGCTCTGAACACCCTGCGCCTTGCAGCAAAGACAATCAAAGGAATGAAGATTGTCGCCACAGCTCAGCGGAAACCATCCCAAGCCGGGTTTCTCATTTTCACGACAGTTGCTCTTCGCCTTCAAGAAGTCTTTTGGGCAATGGAGGCTACGAGTTTTTTTAAGAGCAGGTTACTTCAAGACTGCCTCGAAAACTGTT